GGTTACGTATTGCTAAAACGATTTAACCATCCGGACACTTGCTTGGAAATTTCAACTTCGAGCATTTTAGCAAATTCTAAGGCTTTTCTCGAATTAAAGCGACCAGTCAGAGGAACGTTTTGAACGAACATCTTGTTCATTTGTAAACCGCCGTATCAACGTCTTCAAATTGTGCCTTACGCATCCTTTCCTCTCGGGTCAAAATGTGAAGTCTGCAGATGTTTCAAGATGTCTCGTTCCTTCAAATGGTTGACAATGTTGATGGAGATATGCCATACTTTTGCCACCTCGCCTTTTCTTCAATCCATTTCTTCGAAATTATGTTTTCTTTCTTCCAACAAAAATTGCTTTTCACTGAAGAACTCATCACCTACGTACATAAGAAGGAGCATAAAATACGGAAAAATAAAAATTACATGATGAGAGCTTTATGAAGGTTACACCCGACTGATTGTGTCGCGTTATCGATTGACGCGGAATAACACGGTCACACATCAATGACAATTTAATGGCTTGATAATTTCGTAAAATCGTGCATGCTTGTTATCTTTAGATTAAATGAATTAAGAAGGGAAAATACATATATTTTAACCTGTACGCTGTACAAATAGTTTGTTGTATCGGGATTTTTAAAATCAATCATTTCGTTATATTGAGATTAGTTTAACATTGTTTTAATAGCTTTTCGGCAGGGAACTTCTATGACTTTCGTTATAACGGGATTTTTCGTTGTATCGGTATTCGTTGTAACGAGAACTTACTGTATTATCATATTATTGTCATTGGTGAGTACCTATATTATTTATAATATTTATTTTTCACAAGTGCACGTAATTCGTAAATTAATATTCATTAAAATTAAAACATTATAATTAAGTATTTTTTAAACTAATAATAGCAGGCATATTATATAATATTATTTATCTAAATTATATAGAAACTTAATATTTTTAAATCATTTTTTCTCGTTGCTTTATTATTATTTAAGTATTAAGACTAGGATCACATATTATTCACATGAGCGTTAGACTTAGAATAATCATCCATTATGCATTTTTTTTAATTGTAAAACTATTATGACCTAAAAAATACAATTTTTGTATTATAATTATTTCAGATATAAAGTAAAGAGATTGAATTAAATATTAATTGAAATGTCACATAAAAATCAAAATTCTATAACTTCTTTCTTTAAGATACAGTCCAAAAGAGAACTATCGCCGTCTACTGTATCAAATGAGTTTAAAATGTCGTCTAAAGTAATGGATTCCAATGAACAATCATTAACTGTTCCAAATATTAACCCATTGAGTTCTGATTCCCAATCAACCTCGCAATTAACCATTGATACTGATTATAATTGTCATGATATTGGATTTTATATTAATCGAACATTAACCGAAAAAGAAATAGCTATTGTATTGACACAAATTTGGGTTCCACAAATAGATTACAAATTTCCATCAAAGTCATACATTGTACAAAATAAAACAAAACATTTAAAATTTCAATATTCCTGGCTTTTAAAATTTCCATGGCTGGCATATTCAGCTAAAGAAAACGGAGCTTACTGTAAAATATGTGTAAGTTTCTCTAAGTCTGATGGACATAATTCTCAGGGATTAGGTGCTTTAGTAAAAAATAAATATAATAACTGGAGAAAGGCAATAGAAGATTTCAAGGAACACTCAAATCGGGAACATCATAAAACTTGTGTATGTAGTGCTGATCATTTTCTTGAAGTCCAAAAAAATCCTTCTCAATCTATAATTTCTAAATTAGAAACAGGCAGAGTACATCAAATTGAAAAGAATCGAAAGAATATAATTCCAATAATTCAAACAATTATATTATGTGGTAAACAAAATATTTCCCTTAGAGGCCATAGAGATTCAGGGAAAATAACTATTGAAGAAGCTGACGATGTCCATCTTGACAAAAATGAAGGTAACTTCCGAGAAATACTTCGATATAGAG